GTGTGTGTGTGTGTGTGTGTGTGTGTGTGTGTGTGTCCCACTCAGCCCACCAGGAGGCGGGGCTGGCTGGCATGTGGTGCTGGGGGATTGAACCACGGTCCCCGTGCTTTGCTAAGCTTGTTCTAAGTAGGTGCTTTAGACCACTGAGCCATCTCACCAGCCCCTGTATTTATTTATGAGACAAGATCTCACTAAATTGCCAAGCTGGGGTTGAACTTGGAATCCTGCCTTAGCCTTCCAAATAACCAGGAGTATCTTATGTGCCAGGGCACCCAATTTCTGTAGAGAGGAAGTTGAGACTTAGCCAGATCCACTGGAGCAGAGATCGGAACCCCACAGGAAGAAACTGAAAGGTGGGGTGAGCCCCCAGCTGGGGGACCATGACTGTCAAGTGGCCAGGACAGTGCGTCCTCTCTGGACCCGTGTTCAGGTTGCCTTTGTGCAGGTTACAAAGGAGCCTCCCGCAGATGCCGGGGGGTACTGCTGTGCAGTGGCCTCAGAGGGGCGAGCCCCAGCCTGCTGAGCTCACTGCCCACCCCTTCACAGTGATGGTGGCCACACAGCAGGAGATGAACGATGCACAGCTGTCGCTCGAGCAGCGAGACTACTGTGCGCACCACCTCATCCGGCTGCTCAAGTGCAAGCGTGACAGCTTCCCCAACTTCCTGGCCTGCAAGCATGAGCGGCATGCCTGGGACTACTGTGAGCACCTCGAGTGAGTCCAGGCAGCCACAGGAGGGCAGGGGGCGGGCTGGGAAGCCCAGCTGCAGGCCCTATGGGTAGAGATGGAAGTGGCAGTGGCAGGCCACATCTGGAGCCTAAGCCCTGCCCACTGTCTCCAGCTATGTGCAGCGAATGAAGGAGTTCGAACGTGAACGGCGGCTGCTGCAGCGGAAGAAGCGACGAGAGCAGAGGGAGGCTCGGGCAGCCCAGGGCCAGGGCTCAGGAGAAGTGGCCCCCGAGGTGGCCCTGTAGTGCCACCCACTATTGCAAGTACCAGTAAAGAAATAAAAGAGCCCTTCATTCAACCTGAGCTGCCTCCTTCTTGCAACGCCGGATAAGAGGCACAAGCAGATCCTGGCCCCAAAGAATACAAGAGCCGAGCCCAGCTGGGCAGTTTATTCCAAGAAGAGACAGCAGCATCACCCTGGGGGATACAGTGGCCTCATAGCAGAAAAGGGACAATGGGCATACGCAGGGGTGGGTAGTCACGGAACTCCTTCAGGTAGCTTCGGTGCTTGCCCTTGGCCCAGATGGTCATCTGTGTGAAACCCACCAGCGAGAAGAGAGCCACTGCAAGTGGAAGAGGGGTCAGCGGCCTGCTACGGGCAGGAGGGAAGGTAGTGGGTGCAGCAGGGAGGGCGGGCTCACCTGGCAGGCACTGTGTCATGATGGCGAAGCCGATCCAGGACCCCACCTGTGGGCAACAAGGGGCCAGGTGTTCTGTTGGCAGCCTGGGGGCTCAGCTGCCACTCCATCCCTCCCCCCATTTTTCTACATTGGGCATTGAACCTTAGGGGCTTCACACTGAGCTACACTGTGAACCCAGTTTCTTACTCACATAGGACTTTCAGTGCTGTGTTGCCCAGGCTGAACTGAACTTACAGTTCTGCCTTAGCCTTCCAGTGCTGAAGTGACAGGCATGTACTCCATGCCAGCTCAGCATTGGCTCTGGAGGACAGTACTAACCCAACTCCAGTGTAGTGGGCAGCACACACGCCAACCCTGCATAGGCAACTGCCCTCTACCAGGGACCCAGGCCAGGCCAGGGCAGTGGCCCTTACCTCATAGGTGTAGTTGGGACAGGACACCAGCAGGAAGAGCCACGTGAAGGGGTTTTTAGTGGGGTATGGGATCTTCCTGGTCTTGGACCCTGACAGGCAGGAGAGGTGAATGAGGCGCTGCCCATGGCCTAGCCAACCCAACTGCCCTGAGCCTGGCAGGTCACTCACCAGCTGGCCGCAGGTCCCGCAGGGCCATGTGGATGGAGAAATTGCCCAGCTGACAGATCTGGAGGAAAAGTGGATCAGCCCAGGACCCCCCAGCCACACCCCACCCATCACCCCTGCCTCCTTACCACAAAGATGGCCAGCGCCAGCTTAACCTGCTGAGCTCCATAGGCTGCAGAGGAAGCAGGGAGGGGCCATAAGCCAGGAGACCACGGAGGGCAAAGGGCATGGGGGAGGTCAGAGGCACTTACTAGGGGGTGTATAGAGAGGGTGGTTGATGTAATAGGCCATCCATGCAGCAAAGCCCCAGTAGTAAGTGCAGTTCTGAAAGGGAGTGACAGGGAAGGATGTGGGCAGCACTCAAGGGCAGAGGGCTCTGCAGTGGGCGGGGTCTGGCAGCCGGCTGGAGTTGAGTGGGTGTGGCTTGTGGTGGGCGGGGCCTTCGCAGCTGGTTGGAACTGAGTGGGTGTGCTCTGCGGTGGGTGGAGCTGAAGATGTGTAGGTGGAGCTCTGGATGGCCAAAGTCTGCAGGGCTGGTGGTGGGACTCCGGGGTGGGTGTGGCCCCGGGGTGGGTGGGGCAGGGCTCTCACCTTGAAGATGTTGCGCAAGGGCATGGTGCCATGAGAGAAGCGGTGCACGAAGAGGGTCTCCAATAGCCGCTTGACATAGTGGAATGAGTGGCAGATGCAGGCGAGACTGGGGGGTGCAGGGTCGGCTCAGTTAGTGCAGCGAGAACCCCGCCCCTAGCCCCGCCCCCACTCGGGCATCCCATACTCACTGCACCACTGAATGCCGACTAGACGTGAAGTCGTATTTGTGCCCATAGATGAAGGGTACCCGGAAGTAGAAGAGCAGGTAGATGAACAGGGGCCCGGCGTATTCTGTCAGGAAGACCTGCGTACAGGACACAGTGATCACCCACCCGTGTGGCCACTGCAGTAGGGCACGACGGGGCTTGGCGGAAAAGGGCTTACCGTCACCCAGCTAATCTGCGCCCCCAAGTCCCGGAAGTAAAGAGTGGCTGTGGTGCCCACAGGCAGCTTCTGCAGGACATCCTCGTCCTTCAAGGACTTGCCCTCTGCGGAGTGAGCAGGTTAAAGCCCGCTGTGTCCCCCACCTGCCACCCACCACCCCTGGTTGTGGTACTTACTTGGGTCCAGGCGCAGGGACTGGCGGGCCGGGTACCACTGGGGGTCTGCAGGCAGATAGCGGTGTCACCCAGGCCAGCCTCAGCTACTCCCAGAGGGCCAGAAGGACAGACGTGGTTTCCTCCCAAAACCAAGCCCAGTGGGGGAGGGGAGACTCTGGTGCCCTGGGGGCCAGCAGGGATGGGGGAAAAGGCAGGTGTGCACTCACGGGTCTTGGTGAACAGGTTCTTGATCTCCGCAATGGTGGCCTGGGGCTCCACCTGGTGAGCCAAGGCAAGGAGGTCAGCTCTGGGGGCCGAGATCCAGGAACCCAGGGGAGTGGGGCTGGGAGCCAGGATCCCACCCCACGGTCAAGGCCGGAGCAGCATGGGTCCTGCCAGTGTGGGGACAGCTGTGGCCCTGGGGCCCCATGTTACTAGGAAGCTGATATCATCCAACTGCCCAGTGGAAAAAGGAAGGCCCTGGTAAGGGTCAGCCCCACCTTCTCAAGACCCTGCAGAATCCACTGAGGCGGCCTTGCTTCTTCCCCAAGCAGGCCAGCTACCAGCCACACCAGGCGCCACGCTGCCCGTTCTACCTTACCTGGGATCAACACCCCTTGTGTGCCCTCTGAAGGGCAGGGGGTGCGGCCCCAAGGGATGGAAGGAATGTGGCCCCAGCCTAGTGCCACAAGCAGTATAGTCTTACCTTGTCCAGAAAACACAGCTTCTCCCTTGTCTTTGCATCCAGAATCTCCACCTCGAAGAAGAGAACAGCCTTTTTATGTTTCTTGGCTGCCTTGGGGGGTGGGGCCCTGGGGAAGCCATTAAGGCCAGGGCTCAGGCTCTGGCTCGCTTCCCGGGCCACCATGCTCAAGCTGATGTCCATGTCGCCCACCACTGGCCTGCTGCTCCACTCTGCCCACCAAGTGCACCCCGCTGCCACTGTCGCCTCCCACCGCCAACCTCCCCACCCAAGAGCTGCACCAGTCAGGCAGTGATCAAATTCTGCCACAGTCTGGAAAGGAGCCCAAGTCTGCCCTGAGCCACTGGCTTCTGTGCCAGATGAAATCTGAGTGGCACCAGAGCTGCTGCCCAGCTAAATATAAAACCACTCAGACCAAGCCCCCAACAAGCCATGCCACCATCCCACAACAGCATGGGGGACAGCAAGGTCCCTATAGCAGGCAGGGGCTCAGGCCTGCACCATAGGGTAATAGCCCTGCCTGGCCCGGGATATTCACTGGGCTCTGAGAAACCCCAGCTATTTTGAGAATCCGTGAGAAAGATCATCCATTTCCCTTCTGAGCTGTAAAAGACACTCTGGATTATGTTCCTTGTGCATTTGTGTTCCCAGAGAGGTGACAGATTCCCAAGTTACTGGAGCAGACAGCCCCACTCTGCATGTAAAAGGGCCAGCAAGCCCAGGATTCAGCCAGCACCCTTCTACCCCTCCACCTCCCTCTCCTGTCTCCACACATTACCCCCCCCCCCCGCCCCCTGCCCCAAGGCCTTGTTCAAGGCCTCTGGCATAGTAGTCTTCCTACTGGGCCAGCCCCAGGCCACGCACACAACCAGGCCCTGCCCAAGGCCCATGAGCACACAGTGACAGTGCAGAGGAGCAGCACTGGATGGGGGGACAGCAAGCTGAGAAGCTGCAGAGTAAGGTTGAACAGTGCTTTGTCCTGGGTTTTGGCCCTTCCTGATGGAGGGCTTTTGCACTTAAGCCAGAGAAGCCAGACCCCAGTGGCAGGGCTAGAGGCAAGCAGGAAAGCCTCCTCTCCCTGGGCTGGGCAGGTTCCCTGCCGTGCTCATGGGGGTGCAGCAGTGCAAGTGAGCACATCAGCCTATGTGCCCAGCCTGGCTACCCAATGGCCACAGGTCAGAGTACACAGGGCTCTGCCCACCTGCGCTGCTGAGGGCAGGGCAGGGCCCAGCACCCTGAATCCTGGCAGACACTGTCTGTTGTGCCTGCATCAGCGCACCTGCTGCCCACACTGGGCCCTGCTGACCCCTATGGACAGCTGCCAGAGAAAGGGGCCTGAAAGGCGAGCAGGCCATGGACCTGGAGTGTCACCCCCCCAGGCCAGAGTGAGGAGGGGCACAGGGACAGGGTATTAATAGTTCCTGCACCCCAAGTGGGCAGTGCCCACGTGCCTGTGAGCCCATGTGGCCCTCAGGAAGGCAGCACAGCGTCCACGAGACAGGAGGTCTCAGAGTTCTTGCCGAACCACTCAAGGGCTTAAAATACAACCAGCCAGGCTCCCTGCTGGCCAGATGCTGGGGGAGGGCTGAAACTCTACCCTCTCCTCTGCCGCCGGGCACCAACCAGGCCTGAGGTGGGGGGGACAGGGCCTGCCTGTTGTCGGGGCTCAGGCAGCTGGGAAAGGAAGCTGGTGGCAGGAGGTAGCCCAGCCACCCTCGCAGCAGCAGCCAGCACTCAAGCAGGAGACACAGCCTGCTGCACCTGACAAGGTAAGCCTGGGCTGCAGGCAGCACCCAGGGACTGGGGGCGCTGCAGGCCATGTGGCAACAGGGTCAGCCCTCAGACCCTAGACCCCGAAGCAGTCTTCTCTTGGAAGGGCTGAGGGTCCTCAGGTGGGTGCCTGTGATTGCCTGTGCCTCTGATTATTTCAAAATAGAAAGCACAATAAAATTTGCTAGTTGGGAAGGGGGAAGTAGGCTGAGTGAAAGAAGCCAGCCAGATACACAGGGTCATATATTTATAAGAGGCGTCCTAGCCTGCTCATGCAAACACAGTCAGGGGGGAACTGAGCAGAGGTGAGAGGGGAGCATTGGGGAGTGCTGGAAATCCCTCTGTGTTGTGCACCCTAAAATGGGCAGCTTTCTATTTTGTCAGTTTCATGTCCACACAAAACTGATGCCAGGGACAGAATCAAGCCCCACCTGCTAGGCAAGCGCTCACCACTAAGCCGCAGTCAGCCTCAGCGTCGCCTTCTAAGGCTGGGGGACAAATGGCCACAAGCACCAAGAGGAGAAGCCTCCAGGGCTGGGAGAACCCAGGGGACCTCACCACACTCATCCCAGTCCTTGGTCCCTCCTCAGCCCACCCTCTGCTCTGTGTCTGCCCAGGCTTTAGGCCAGCCTACAGTGGGGGTCAGGGGCTCCCAAGACTTGGTAAGCACAAGGGAGGACCCCAGAGAAGGCCACGCCCTAGGGAGGGCACAGGTGTCACAGCGCCTGTGCACAGGGAGGCAGGAAGGAGTGGAGGGGCTCTCCTTAGGAGCCTCCAAGGCAAGGGACAGGATGGCTGACACATGGACAGAGGAAGCTGGTAAGGGGGCACTGGCCCAGATGCCACAGAACACAGGCAGGGACCCTGGCGTGGGTATGACACACGGTTCTGTGATGACAGTCCACTGGCCCCGGAGGAATTCTCACCCGGCCTGAGATTCTGAGGCCCAGCCAGTAGCGCTCCTGCCAACATCAGTGTGCCAGGGCCGGGGTGCCGCCAGGCCCACCCTGCAGGAGGGCACAGGCCCTAAGCTGAAGGTCCCCAGCCAGTGCTGGGTAGTAAAGACCTGACAGAGGGAGGCACAGAGGCAAATTCAGCAGTAGCACGGGCCGCAGGAGGGCGCAGGCGTCGCAGGGCCTCTGCACAGCCACTCCCTCCTGCCAGCACTCAGCTTGCAGGGCCTATTTTCAATGCTGGGCGTCCTCCATCCAGCAGCCACAAACACGGGTATACACTGTCCTGTGCATGGCTGCTCCCAGCACCTGCAAGAGGGCCGGCCAGGGGCAGGGACAGCTGCGCCCTGGGAGGAGGCAATACAGGCCTGGCCCAGGAGCCCTGCCCACCTGTACCCTCAGCTTTGCCTTGTCCTCCTGCACCACCCATGGAGCTGCCCAGCCATCAGACCCAGAGGGCACACGTGGGGCCCAAGGCCCCTAGGGGAGCCTCTGCCCAGTCACGCAGGTGAGCAGGCTACAGCTGCCGGGGTCCCTCAATAACCCTCACACGCTGGAGGCCCTCTCATCCCTAGCATGAGAAGCCAGGCCACAGGAGGTCCTGGTCCCCAGGGAAAGGATGCAGGCCAGGACTAAGACCCACCTTTTCCACACTCCCCAGATGCTGAGGTTTAAAACAAAAAGCAAAACTATTTCCTGGCTGTGTTGCTCTAGTCAAATAACCTATCCTTTCTGAGCTTCTACATCCTCATCTGCAAAGTGACAAACTCCCATCTGCCATCTCACAAAATTACTGGGAAAACAGTGGTAATAACCAAAAAAACAAAAACAAAAACAAAACAAAACACAACCCAGGATTTCCAACCAAAAATATATCTTTTTTTTTTTTTTTTTTTTTTTTTTATGTCTTTGGCACAGAGTCTCACTATGCAGCTCAGACTCATAGTGATCCTTCTGTTTTCAGCCTTCCCCAGTGCTGGGATTACAGACATGTGCCACCACACCGGGTCTGGCTCAGCACACCTGGGGGTGCAGCCAGTGTGGCATATGGTGCTAGGGATCGAACTCCGGTCCCTGCACTTGCCAAGCAGGCACTTAGTCTACTGAGCTATCCTGGTAGCACCCAACCTGAAATAAATCTTTAAAACTAAAATCATAATATATACTGAGCCAGGAGGTGGTGGCGAATGCCTGACCCCAGCACCCTGGAGGCTGAGGCAGCAGGGCAGTATGTTCCTAGCCAGAGCAACTTAGTGAAACCTTACCTCAAAATAAAAAGGTGCTGGGATGGAGCTCTGTGTGAAAGCCCCAGCACCGAAAGCAAATAGAGATATAAACATGAAGGCTCTGGTGCTTGCTGCAGAGTGGGGTACATGCACGGGCTCCATTCCCCAATGTCTGGCATAGGGCAGCACTGGACCCCTCCACAGAACACCAAGGTCAGCTTGAGAAACGCCACCCAACCAGCACCGCCCCCCAGTGATCACGAATGGAAGTGCACCCTGAGGCAGAGGTCAAGGATGCTGTGGCAGGTGCAGGGTCAATGGACAGACAACAGGGTCCCTGTCGCCAAGACAGGGCAGAGTAGCCAGGGTGGGCCTCCCCAAGAAGGGGGTCTGTGGAAATGGCCAGGGGAAGAATGAACTAGGTGGAGGGACAGCAGGTGCAAAGACCTTGGTTCTGCACCAAGCTCCTGTACACAGGAGTTAATGGACAGGGGGACAGTGGGAAGAGATGACAGGCAGAAAGGTGACAGGGTGGGGCAGACTTTGCAGAGCCTGGTGAAGAACCTTGGCCTTTTCAGGTTTTTTTTTTCCCCCGAGTACTGAAGATAGAACGAGGGCTTCACTCATGCCACATAAGAGTTCTACCACTCAGCTGCCTCTCTGTCACCTTTTAAAATTTTCCTTTCTCCATCTTATTTTGAGGCAGGGTCTCACTGAGTTGCCCAGATTGGGCTCAAAATTGTGACCCTCCTGCCTCAGCCTCCTGAGCAGCTGTGATTACAGGTCTGGCTAGGCCTCTGGCTGTTACTGCGGGATGGAGGATGTGCAAGATTACTGAGCACAGGATGCAGGGCCAGACTCAAGTGGTCACAGGGAGATCAGTGGGGATGAGGCTGGCACTCACCAACAGGTGAAGTGTGGGCTGGGACTCGACAGTGGTGGGTTTGCGGGCAGACCATGATGGTTTAGGTGGGGACAAAGGGGCAGGAGCTACAGGTTTCTGACCTAGCCCCAGTGGAGCCCAGGCTGGAGATGAGTTCGTAATACCTGTGAGCTGACTGCATGGGGACAGTGCAGGCCTGGCACAGCCACATCAGAAGCCTCTCGAGTGGTGGCCCTATCCCCTCCCAGGGCCCTCTGTCTGCAAATGACCCACCCAGGGCCTCCCTCAAGGGCTGCACGGAGTCCTGGTCACGGGGCAAGAACAGGCTTGATGGGCTTGTGCACCTACCTGGAGCTCCTGTGTCCTATGCTGCGACCACCAATGGTGACAGGGTAACGAGGGCCAGTAGTTGCTACCAGGCCTCTACGCTGTGGCCCACAATGACCCAGAACAATAGAAGGCGGTCGCAGGTATAGAAGCCAGGCTCCAAGGGCAGAGTGCATCCAGGTCACCTGGTGGAGAGTGCCTGTACTCCAGCACCGTCGCGTGTAGGTTCAAGGTCAGGCCATCCCTGTGCAGGGCCCTGGGCCTGGTCAGAGCTGGTGCAGAGGCACATATACTGCCCTCTCAGCCCCCACAAGGACTGGTGTCAGGAAAGGACCTGGCCACAGCCTGTCTCACACAGCACACCTGGCACAACCCAGCAGTACCTGCACTAGGCCTGGTACACAAGGAAAGGCCTGGTAGGCACAAGCCCAGAGTGGCGAGGGGCAAAGATGCAAAGTGCTAAAGGCCTTCAGCCTGCCAGTGCTCACGCAGTCACAGGGCTGTCCTTGGGGACACCAGCTGTGCCACCCTGGGGACTCGCTCACCCCCATCACTGAGGCAGACAGGCGCGTGCCCTGGACTCCAGCTCAGCACTTCGGTTCCCTTTGCCTTTTACTTTCCAGAAATATCAAGTCATCCATGAATGCTAGGGTGCCAGGACACCCGAGAGAACCTTGGGCCTGGCTGCCAGGAAGCCAGCACAGGCTGCACCTGCCCAGCCACAAATACCCCCTCCCCCAGTGGCCTCAGTGTGCGACCTCATTTCTCCACAGTGCTGGAGTGGGAATGCCAGCCTCCCAGAGGAGCTGTGGTGGGCACAGAGTGGCACCCAGGTGGGGGTGGGGGTGGCCGGGCCAGATGTGGACCAGCCACTGCGTGGACCTCAGCCAGGCTGCTCCTGCTGCTAAGATGCTATTAGCTGGGGCCTGGGCAGCAGCACCTACATGGCCCTGGGGGCCAGGACCAGGAAGAACGGGTTGCTGTCCCCACCTCCAAGGACACTTGTCAGGCCCCCTACATCAGTCAACAGAAGAAACCACAGAGGACAGAAGAGGGAGCACTGGGTGCACACAGCAGGGACTCTCACCAGCAGCTTGCCAGCTGCCTGGCTGTCCCTGTCCACACAAATGCACCACTACTGAAAACACTCAATGCTCCCTTCCTACCTGCTCTGTCACCATTACCAAGCACTGTGTCCCATCCACAAGCTCGGAAAACCCAGCTTGGAAATGAAGCCCTGGGCCAAGGTGGTCAGCCAGGAAGACCCCTGCTGTCCTGGCCTGTGTGAGCCTGAAGTCCCTGCGGTCACCACAGTGAACAAACCTGCCTACCCTCTGAAGAACAGTCTAAATGCTAGGGAAAAAAGAAGAAAATAGGCCTGATGCCTAAGCTCAGTGACTTGGAAGACCAAAACAGGAGGACTGCTTGCGCCTAGGAGTTCAGGGCCAGGCTGAGAACACAGAGAGACCCATCTCAAAATACCAAACTTCAAACCAATAAAAACAAGTGAGGAGTACAGCTCAACTGTGGCCTCTGGCCTAGTACACACAAGGTCCTGGGTTCCTTGCCCAGCAACAGAAAAACAGTAATAGGGCTGGGTATGGTGGTGC